TTAATCGACCTACTGGAACCTGGAAGTGAGGAATCTATTTCAACAAAGCGTGCAATCCGTAGCCTAAACTCTCCATACTCCCACTTTGTAATCAAAGAACACGTGCTCCTTTATTTGTTTAAAAAACACGTATAAAACAATAAAAAAAAAGGGTTAAATGGGTATGTAGCTTAAATAAATATGAGAAGACAAGTCAATAACACATATTATGCTTTTTTAAGTAAATAGCACTTGTGGGTGTAAAATTCGTGCCTAGTACTTCTTATGAGGCCTCATTATTATAGTTACTATATCTAACCGTTAGTTTTTATCCTTGTAAATTAGTTAGTTAGGCTATTTATTTTATTTATACAAATATATAACATAAATTTAATTGTACTTAATTAAAGTTGTATATATACCCAAATATTCCTAAAAATAATCAAAACACGTATATACCCTAAAAGTGAAAATATATAATTAAATAAATAAAACTTACTCAAAAATGCAAAAAAAAAAAAGCTCTAAAATATTTAGAATATTAAGAAATTATAAAAACTTATAAAACTGGTTTTGAAAATATTAAAAATTATGGTACAACATTTTAAAATTTCTATGGAACAAGTTTTTATTTTATTAACTAAAACATATTAAAAAGTACTACGTAATAAATTTTTAAATTTGATATATAAATATATAAATTTGAAAAATGTTAAAAATAGTTAATATAATTTATACTCCGTATAGAATATATAAATTTTATAGATATAATAAAAATGTATTCTTTATAAAATAGTTAAAAAATCAGTAACCTTAAAATCATTAAAAATTACTTAAAATAAGATTAAAAAAATTAAATACTAAATAATATAAAAACTAAACAAAAAATTATGGTGATGTAATTATTTTGTAAAAATTAGAAAAATATAAATTAAAAATAAAAAATCAAATACTATAAAATGTTTGAAAACATTCAAAAAATTAAATTAAATTTATATAATAGTGGAAAAAATAAAAATATAAAACATTATAAAAATCAGAAAACAACTATTGTAACCTAAAAGAGTGTAATATTAAAATAAATTAGAGAATAAAAATTGAAAAATATCAAGATAATGAACTTTAAAAAAAAGTTTGAAAATTAAATAATACGAATTTTCTAATATAATAATTTTGAAATTAATTATACTTTTTGTAATCATTATGGAATATTATTTTTGTTATTTTATTATTAGCTTTTGTTGACAATTGTTTCTATGTGTTTCTTTGTGATGATAATTACCATTTTTTTGTTGTTTATTGTTTCTTTGTGTTTCTAGTTGTTTATATTCATAAATCTGTTTTTTTTAGCTTTTTGTATATAAATATATACACATATTTTGATTTTAAGGATGTAGCAAAGGCAAATAGAAGTCTAAATAAACAACAAAAAATTAAATAAACAAAAACAACAATAAGCAACATGATACAACAATAAACAACACGTCGCAACAAAAAACAACACGATGCAACAAAAAATACTGCATATGATACAACAATAAGAAACAAAAAACATACAAACAAGATCATCTCCAACAAGATCATCTCCATTCTTCACTCTTCTTCCATTTATGATTTTAACACACAATCCATCAAGTTTGTCTCTTTATCTTCCTTTACTCGTTGATTTCTCGATCTTATTATCATCTCTACATCTTCTATTATTCACCTGCAATTATAACGTGTTGCCCATGAAAACAAGATCATGAGACTCATGGTCTTAGAAGCAAATGAAGTACCTCAAAAACTGGACATTCAAGGACAAATTATTTGAAGGAAGGTGCCTGAGATGCCATCCATATTACTAGCCATCAAATTTTAGCATGAAAATAATTTCATGAAACCATGTATAATTAAAAAGTAGTTTATGGAACAACATTGAATATATGTGATGAGGTGGAGGTCTAGTGCATTTATTTAACAGAAACTACATCCAAAGCTAAAACAACCACCGAAATACCACATCATCATACATTAGGAATATATAAGTTAACCTACCAGTACTACTTTATTAATCAAAATTTGAAAAGTGCACACTGTAGCATACTAGCATGCACATCACAATTCACATTCTCTGATCATATATTTCATTTGTCAAAAAATAGAGAAACAATAGAATGACAGGGACACACACTAATATGTCCTTAGCATGCCATAGGCACCAAATACAAATTATATGTTTTCGAGTGTTTACAAAACTCTGTTCAAAGCAACACATAAGTTGAATGTGTAGCAACTATATTACATAGGAGAGGTCAAATTACTATAAGCTATTACTGAGCGCAATTGAATATCAATGATGCCAAATAAAAACTAAATTAAAGCAAAAGCCTTCAAAACATAAAACCCCAACGTTGACAAACTCTACCTGAAAGTGTCATCTCATGTAGTGATTAAGCCAAAAAGAAAACATATAGGAATGACAAATATGGATCACTTAGGCTCTTTGGTTGAGGACAGAAAGGATTGATTACAGGAAGAGCTCTTTGGGATCCAATTCTATGCTATTAGTATTACAACTATAGAAACCTTTTCTAATAACGAAGGGATTGGTATGCACTATGCAGGAAAGGCCAACAGATTGTTTCAAGGAAAAAGTATGGGTCATTTCCATTTGAAGAAGTCAACATGAATAAATGTGAATTTCCAGAAAACGTTATTACAAAATGAGAAGAAATTTGAGTTAAGACTAAAAGTTCAAATGAGAAATTCAAAGAAATTCCGATCAGTCAATAAAACTATTGCTACATTTGGAAATATCAGATAGAGATGAATCTAAGAAGAAAAATATGATAATTGAGTTTAATTTAATACAGACTATTAAACACCACTCTGAAGCAAATATGAATCTGAGATCATCGTACATACACAGTACCGCAAATATGAATCTGAGATGGTCGAACATCAACAGTACCAGAAATACTAATATGAGATCTAAATCCAAAAATCTATGAACAAAGCAATAAATCGAAGTCATATTGAAGATAAAGTGATTAAATACACACTGAAGCAGCCGGGCAAGCAGGGACAAAGGGCAGAGCTGCGGAGGGAGGGAGGAGGCCGGAGAACACAGCAGCCGCAGCCGCAGTCGCGCACGGTAGGAAGGGAACAACCGCGCACGTCCCTGCCATATCTACTCAAGTTTCAGTTCAATTCTCCAGGAGATCGTGAGGATGGACGAAGGATCTAGGAGAATAGGGATGGAGACTGCCTGGGTTTAAGTTTTGATTTAGGAATTAGGATATTTTTGAAATAAATAACTAAAACTGAAAAGGTGAAAGTCTATAAATGAAAACTAAATAATTCGGGAACATAAATGAAATTCAGTTAGATAAAGTGGATCTAACGGATATTTCCACTTTATTTTTCGGTCAAAAGACTCAAAACTTGAAAGCATAAACTTTAAACCATGAGTAAAATCGCTTATATATGCGTTTTGTTTTGTTTTAATTAGTTATGTTTCGGACTTTTTATCGGATAGTTACGTTTTGTCCAATTGTTGTCCGGTACTCGATAATAGTGTCACCTGAATAAACAGTGTTGTTTATAGCATGAACTCAAAAAGGTTTATACCTGTCACATAACTCAGGGCCGTAGATGAGGATGTGCTACCGCACAAAGCCTCTCGAGTCAGAAGGCCCAAAATTTTAAATATAGCCTACATAATACTCCGTAATATACAAAATCCTTTTCTATTTGATTAAAGATTACTATTTTAGTATTTTGTCTTTAAATACAAACATTAAATACTAATATTTATATGTAATTAAAATGCAATTATTAATTAAAAATGTGCAACTTCTTTATTACATAAGGCCTTAATAAGGCATAGTACGTTATAGTAATTAGCATGCACAAATTCCTCGAACAGTTTGGACGAGCTTGATTTTAAGGGACGGATGGAGTAGTTTTTTCAGTAATATCCTACTCTATATGTTTTAATTCATGATTTTAATTCATTTCTTTTCGGTTTTAGTTTTTTTTACCGATTTTGGTTGTTCAGTTCGAAATATGATTATATCTCAATGTCACATTTGATTGTAGTCTTTTTGGGTTATTTTTTAAAGACTGCTTTTTATATTATATTTGTTTATTTAATTTAAGGCCTATTTTACATGATTTGCACCGGGTCAGCTAATCTATTGAGCCGGCCCTAACATAACTTACTACATAACGCAACTATTTTCTTAAACAAGTGACGTTTATCTTTCCCGAACATAGATGCAGCAAGGAGTAGGAAGTTATGCGTTCATTATCAGTTTCAAACTCATGCGGCAATAGGGGTTGGACTCGGGCCGGGCGGCCCGAACCGGAACCGGCCCGGGCCGGTCACTGTTTGAACCGGCCCGGCCCTGCAGCCCGGCCCATGGGCGGTTCGGGTCGACCCGGCCCGGTGGCCACCGGTTCCGGGCTCGGGCCTTCATTTTGGTGAACCGGCCCGGCCGGTTCGGGCCGTATTTAATTTTTTTTTTTGAATTTTTTTTAAGTTTTTGGGTTGGATTGGGTATGTTGGGCCATTTGAGGTGGTTTGGGGTTGAGGGGGGGTAGGGGGTTGATTAGGAAAACAACCAAAAAAATTAATATAGAACCGAACCGGGCCCGGCCCGAACCGGGGTTACCCGGACCGGTTCCAGGCCTCCCCTACCTTGAACCGAGGCCCGGCCGGTTCAAGGCCCGGAACCGGTCCAACCCTACACGGCAACCAAGGTCCAACGGTGTTTGCAATGGATATTAACTTGAAAGGGTTCCAAACTACGACTAGTGCCCAGAGTCAGTCTAACCCTACTCACCTAGTCCAGTTCCTCCAAAATTAGAACAGGCCGGTTTTTGTTCCATTTTTCTCATGACTAGTAAAAGATTTACCAGTCCTGATTACAGGCAGAGCACTCTCCGGACCGGGAACCAAAAACCAGAACACGACCAGAATGGAATGTTTTGGCATGTGTGGTCACAATAACCAGAATGGAATATTTTGGCATGTCTAGTCCAACAGGTGTATATAAGATAATTCTACTAAAGGAAGTCTTGTCTGGAGATCAAAACAGGAGTCACCTGAAAGAATGAAAGGGTACAAAGTATACCAACATAGGAGCAGGCTAGTAACAGTCACAGATTAAGAGAAGAAATAATATTTCAAAATTGGAAGTTAGGAGGATATTACACTCATATTTTTTCAGTCACAAATGATTCAATATTTCAACCTACAAAATTGACAACTTTAGGTCCCTGATGTTTCTTTTTCAATTTGGCAATGTTGTCTTCCTTGGATTCGCCTACCATGAAGTCATCGTCTAGATCATCTCCACTGGTTAATTTTGTGACTTGCCCTGTAGGTACATCTTCTATTTTAACTGTGCAAGAAGGGCAAGTAAAAAATGATCAGGACAGCATTTGACATATCAAGTATAAAGGATAAAGATTATTATACGAATTCCATGTGTGGTTACAACTCCAAAGTCAACAATCTTAAGTGAATACAGTGAATAGATCATGCATCTATGGAACACTGATAGTGAATTGCCGAGCTCCAACCAAGGATGCAATAATAATTAGCGGAATAGTGTTTTCTAATTAATTAAATTAATTGAAAAATGGCTCAATACAATACGTCCTAGAAATGATTCATGTCCAAAATATCAGACTGCCAAGTGCTATCCATGAATAACATCTACAATTGCAAAATAAAATACTACGTAATAGACAAAGCAACAAACCAATTACAAACCATAGATGCAAATTTAGTTGTTTTTCATGAAATTGTGTCCCAGAAGAAGAAAAACCCTAACAAATTAAAAAATTGGAAGCACATGGATGAGGTATTATACTATTATATTGCTTACATCTTTTATTCGAACCATGGGTTGCATTGGAAGTTGTGCTACCCTTGTTGGGACAATCTTTGGCCAAATGTGTAATACCACCACAAGTGTTGCAACTACCACCCTGTAAATTTTAAGTTTGTAAGAGGCAAAAAATTGCAACTAGACAGGTCAGCCAACTCTAGGAGTTGATAATCTCAATCTCACTTAATCAAATTTCCCAGAGGCTATGGATGTGTACCTTCCAGTAGATCCCGTGAGCATTTTTAGGGCAATCCTTGCTCAAGTGCCCGAGCCCTTTGCAAATAAAGCAACTGGCATACTTTGTTCCACCTGTATTGTCAGAAGTGGAAATACATAATCATTAATCAATCCATAGACCCAACTCATAAGTCATAAGTTAATGATACTGCTCTATATTTATATGATCCATATCCATGAATTTAGCTTCACCCGTTTACTAATACTACCTTCATCCCATTTATATTGTCCCTTTACGGTTTACGATGTTTGACAGACGATAAAGCAAACAGATCCCTGTCCGCACTCAAATTATTTTTAGGAAAAAAAATTACATATTCAGAAACTACATTTAAAGCTTTACAAAGTCGCAAAAACCTGAATCAAATTTGATAAATTTTTGATATATAAAGTAAGAAATTAAGAGTGATTTGTGTTGACCAAGTGAATAGGAACTGGGACAATATAAATGGGACAGAGGGAGTATATTTTAAAAATTACAATAACAACCTTTGACCTCCTCCCCACCCTAGAAAAACTACCTTTACCTCAAAAAAGGGAATCATATTTCCATCACATATTTGCCCAATTTTTCCATGTTATTTACTAATAAAATGCCAAACAAGAGTCACAAACGACTTATATACTACCCTCCTTCCGAAAAACAAGTCTGTCAATTTATGATGATTGATTAATGATAAAACTTTCTTTACTAAGATTACCACAATAGCATTAGTAATTAAAATATACTTATTTAAAAACTACACTAACTGTTCTACTGAACTGCAAAAATTCAAAACCGAAATTTGAATGGACTTTTTTCAAAAATATTACTAAAATGAAACTTATTTACATAAATATGACTAATAGTTACTAGTTTACTAAAATGTAGTCCATTGGTAACTTAAGTTTAAAAACTGAAAATAGGTTACTATGATTCCATTACTACTCTAGTCACTAGTCACATTTTTGTAAACAATATTTATTTTAGTCATAAATATGTAATTATTTCAAATTGAATTTTATGAAACTTTGATACACAATATCATAGATTAATAGAGTTAAATTAACTGTAAAATATCATACACAAACACAATTTTGGGAGGGAGGTATAATAATGCATTTAGTTAAAACTTAAAAGTTAAAACAGAGTTTTTTATGTAATGTTTTATAAATTATAAGTGTTGCATGAATTATGAAATTATGAGGTTGTAAGTTATAAGAATCAAAGAGCTGCACATTTTTCAGATAGGGCACTTTTTGGAACGGATATAATCATATAAGACTCTTTTACACTCTACTACTCTACTAGACAATTAAAGCTATAAGAGTGAACACTAATATGATACATTAAACAATCATAAATTGCACAACTAAAGAATACAAGCATATCATTCGACGCAAGTTTTAAAAAAAGCACCCAGAAAGTTGTTCAAATAACACTACTGATAAAAGTTTAAGGGCACACAGAAACCAGAAATACATTGTATAAATAATTGAGTACAGTTAACAGGCTGTTTTACCTTCCTGCAATGGTTCAGAACACCTTTCCAAAGAATGCCCAGTTTTGCCACAATTATAACACAATTTCTTATCCATAGCGTCATCACTTTTGTTAGGACAGTTCTTGAGACTGTGGCCACGTCTCCTACACAACAAGCATATCTGCAAACATGAGGTACTATAAGGTTCATTAGTACAGAAAACATGGAGGGCAATCTAAAAAAAAGATTTTTAACAAAAATTTGTATGAGGAAAGCATGCCTTGTTTCTCTCCCACGAAGCCTTTTCGGGGCAATCTTTTGCTATGTGGTCAATACCTCTACAAATGAAGCAGCTTTCACCAGGTTTCATTCCGGGGACTCTAAGGGGATGCTTTTTATCTCTTGACCTTTTCTGGTTCGATGCGTCTTCTGAGTCAGGTCTTTTGCGCTTTAATTTGCTCCCTTTCTTCTTCTTCTTCTTATCCGGGTTTGAGGGTGCTGGTTCTGGATCAGGGAAAAGCTCCGGATGAGCTTCCCTGAACCGCTTTTTGGCTTTTCTCTGACGCTCGTTTGCCATCGCCTATTGTTCTTTATGTGTGTGTATCTTTCTTCGAGTTCCTTTTAAGAAACGCCAGAGCAATGAAATGTGAATTGACGACGGTGTGACGATCAGAATTGAGAGCCGTCGTCCACGGTCTAGGGTTTTTGGGTTAAGAATTAAGCCTATGAATTTCTACAATACGGGTCGCCAAATACACCCGACCAGAGCTACATTACATTTTTAAGATGTTTTTTTGGACTGTTTTCCGTCCCAAACTAGACCAGATCAGATCAAATCAGACCAGATCAGGTTAAACCAGATCAGATCAGACTTCCATTTATTATAAAATATATAGAGATCAGATGTTTACCAGATCAGACCAGACCAAACTAGCAAATTTCAGTTCAAAAGAAAACATGAAGTTCTCGTTCACTAGTTATTCGGTCAATGTAGACCATTCTTAATCTTTTATTTTTGATATCAAATTTTATCAAATTCGAATTTTCTTTTTTTAATTTTGTAGAATTTTTAATGTTTCTAAATATGTAAATTTTATTGACTAAACATAATTTGAGTGTTGACATAGATCAATTTGTTTTATCGTCAGTCAAACATCGTAAATCGAAATGATAACTTTTTTATGGGATGGAGAGAGTACATGTTAGTAAAAGGAAGTTTGCTTCGTGTACACGTCCGGCTACACGACGACTTACACGCCCAAGTGTAGTTGTCTGTGCATAGACAAGTATACTTGGGTTTTAGTAAAACTTGTTCATGACTCTAAAAAAATGAATTTTCTATGCACAGACAATTTGGGATCGCAAACACTTCCCTTTACTAAACTCAAGTGTAATTGTTTGTACACAGACAATTACACTTAGGCCTGTAAGACGACGTGTATACAAAGCAAAATTCTAATAGAAGTGATTATAACTTCCAGAATACAACTACATTTCTTTCTAGTCAGTAGTATGATTAAAAAGAGGTGAAAGAAATGGTTGTAATCGTCGTGTAGACGTACAACATAATCACAACCTCTTGGGGCCCATTCGAAGTGAGGAAGTTAAAGAAGCAGCCGTTGATATGTTTCCAGACAAATCCCCTGGTCCGGATGGCTTCAGTCCAGGATTCTATCAGCATTTCAGGGATGTGGTGGGTCCAGATATAGTTGATTTATGCAGGACGGCATTTGAGACAGGTAAGCTTCCAGATCTTATTAATCACACTAATATTGTTCTCATCCCGAAGAAAGATAAACTTGAATCTCTTAGCGAGTGGAGGTTGATTGCATTGTGTAACATCATCTATAAAAGTTTATCTAAAATGCTTGCAAATCGTATGAAAAACATCCTCCATTTGTGCATTTCATACTGGGTCGATGTATTGTTGATAATATTATGTTGGCTTTCGAGTCTCAACATTTTTTGAAATGTAAGCGCCAGGGAAAGATGGGATTGGTGAGCCTGAAGTTAGATATGAGTAAGGCCTATGACCGTGTTGAGGTGTTGCTAAGTGACGATTAGTTAACGCTTCGACATTAATTATTACTAGAAACGATCAACGAACCGATGGTTAATCGTTGATGGTTTCACAAGTAAGTAACTTCGGTTTATTAATGCACGGTCGTGGTTAATAAACTTAAGAGAGATTATTTTGCTGGTTAAACCGAAACCGTTGTGTTAAGGTTATCAATCTCAATTGATTTCATCAAGGAGTTGAAAAGATTTTATGCTACTATTAAATCATATCGGTATACGACGTTGTTCTATATTTTATTAATAGTAAGGGTTGTTAATGAACGGTCGTTGTTAATAACTACCTTCGATGAATTGGAGATACTCCTCGATTGAGTATTCAGGAGGGGATAAGTTATAGATATAACAATGATCGACTAAATGTATCAACAAGTGGAAAGTAGCAAGGTCAAGTCCTTTTTATCTTTGAATTAAATCACATATAAGTCATTCAACTTGTTGTTTTAATTAATTAAACCATACAATCCCAAAAAACCCCTTTTATTACTAGTTAATTGAAAAGAAAGTTATTCCTTTCCTTGTGGATACAAACTCTACTTCACTATAATACGTATAAGTGTTAGTATCGAATATTATTTTGACGCACTACGACAAAGTGCTCGTCATATTAGTCTCCAGATATGTGAAGTGGGTTCGGTGGGGCAAAAAAATTACATATTTTTGACAAAACATTACGTGATTCTCTCTAAATCTTATGACGGCTCGCTTCAGATTGATATAGTATAATCTTTTTGCTCTTTGGGATAGCCTTTCATGTTATGGAGATAAATGGGCTCCTAACTAATGTGTAAAGGGGTCGTGGGGGTTGAAACTTGAAACACCTACTATTAGCTAATATAAATTATAAATATACTAATCTCACATTACATAAGATATTTAAAGGTTTTAAGTTTATTTTAATTTGTCATCATTCATCTTACATTACATCAATAGTCACCATGTAGCATTTTGACCAACGCTTTGTAATATGACTAAACTATAGTAAAAAGTTTATGTCGATATTTTGATAATCTTGTACTCTAAAATCACAAACTATAACAAGGGCATTTATTTTAGTTGTCATCAAGCAGCCCTATACAAAGAATTTGGCAAGCGAGGCCTCGCAATAGCGAGGAGTGGATTCTGAAGAGAAAAGTCACGCTTAGACTCAACTAAGGGTATTGTTGGTGAAATAGGTGGAGTGGTCCATGTGAAAGCTTGGAGAAGCCTAGCAAACAACATTGTTGTTATTAGAGAGCCTAGTCTAACTCCAACACACCCTCGTCTTCCTGTACTAAATGAAAGCACCTTAGATTCAAGATCTGTCAAAACCACTTCATTAGTTGGCCATCGATTGAGGTGCCTTTCTGGAATGAACTTGAGTTCATCCTCCCATACCCTAGAATTCCGACCGATCCCATAGCGGCTGACTAAGATAATACTACCTTTGGGAATGAAATAACCACCAACTATTGCATTTTCAGAAGAAACGTGTGGGACATTAAAGGGGGCAATGGGGTGGAGACGAAATGTCTCGCGTATACATGCCTTTATGTAGTTTAACTGAGACAAATCAGTTTCATGGACAAACCTCTCTCTCCCAACCACATTGTCTAACTCTTGTGTAGCTTTTTCTAATATTTGAGGTTGATTTAGCATTTCAGCCAATGCCCACTCAAATGCGTTTGATGGGTTGTCAATTGTTGCTATCATCATTTCCTACAACCATAGCATTCAATTAGACAAAAACATACTTACCTAATGAAATATGCATTAGAATTCAAAATCTAATTAAAGGCTGAAAAAAAAAGACGATCTAAGCAGCTTCGCAAATAAATAAAACCAAAATTGCATTTTCTCACCATTCACAAAAAAAATCTTCACCTGTATTGACCTCATTATATAGAGATAGAATACATATATGAATAATATGATATTATAACAAGTTGAGGTCATATTCAACGATTAAGAGTAGTAAAGTGATATCATACACATATTTTTTATTATCATCTAAGCCCAAAGTGAAATTTGATGAAAACAAGATCTATTATCTCATTTAGTGTTCCACATATATTACCAAAAAACATGTTTAATCAATTCATCTACATGGTCAGTTATATCCATTTTAACTGAACTGACAAGTATGAATGGTTCGATACAAAATAATATACTTTGTATATATGTGGTATGTCTAATCATTGGAATGGAATAAAATTGCAGTAGACTATGGATGACTTCAGTAACCCATGAGTGAACTAATAACTCATCATTTTTCGAAAAGTATATAGAAATTAGACTGCGAAGTTGGGTGGTTGTAGCTTGATCGAATTTCAATTTAAAAGAGTTTACTAGGGTATAGTAGTAATTTGTGGTATCAAATAGTTGATAGTTAAAGTACTCCCTCCACCCATTATGAACTATGTGTCTGATTTTGGATTGCGCAATTATTAATAAAATGGTTGAAAATTAAATATTGTGATTTATATTTGTGTAAAATAAAGTGAAATGGGATAGAGAGTATTTATGCAACTCACATGCACACAAACAACACTACTACATACGAATAACAAGATAAATAATTAGAAATAAATTTAGTGGGCACGCAAACACGCTCACTATGGATCACATACATTTTAGATAAATGGGTCATACTTTTTGAAATGAAATATTCTCTGTCACATAACATGCCAACGGTATGTGCTCTATAGTGAGAAAATTAGCATATTGGTGTGTTAACTATATTTATTTAATCAATTAATGCATGTACTTACAAAGATGAGGTCTTTAATCTCGTCATGAGTGAGCAATGGTGATCCATCAATCTCATTACGGAGTGTAATTAGAACATCAACCAAGTCATCTTTGGTCGTCTTAATTCCATTTTTCCACATTGATATTCTCTCATCGATTAAAGGATCAATATACTTTCTAGCACTCTCCAAGGCTTTGTTAAGGATGCTGATGTGGCCGTCAATATCGAATACACCAAGCCATGACATGTAGTCAGCAATGCCAAACCCAAAGGTATAGCTCAAAAGTGTGAACAATGCCTCAACTTGCTCTTCCTCTTGAGGCCCGGGCGGCCTTCCATTCATATCGTTATCATTGTCAAAGAATCTTTTTCCAAGCGTCATTCTCCTTATCACATTTCCACAATAGTGTCGCGCGATAGATCTGACATTCACAATTGATGAGGAGTTATTGTATACAGAGCGAACAAGATGATCAGCTTCCTCCATTCTTTTACCTTCAAGCCAATCATGAACGGCGGGAGATAAGACGTGAGACGCGAGAATTCGCCTCATTTTCTTCCACTTGTCGTTGGGGGGCATAGAGAAGACACACTTAAATCCGTTAGTGGTGATGTTTAAAGATGTGAAAGTTGGCCTTAGTGAGAAAACTTTATCTTGTGTCTTTAAGAACTCATTTGCCAGCTCAGGAGACGTGACAGGGATGACGTAAGTGGAGCCAAGCCGAATGCAAGCGACTTCTGTCTTCATTTTATCCATGAGTTTTAATATCCACCGTGATGGAATCATCATTTTCTGCGCTTTCATCATTTCTGGGAGGCTTCCTAGTAGAGGCCAGCCTTTTAGGCCGGGAGGAAGCGGCGGGAACTGTCGTTTGAGATTCTTACAAAATCTCATTGTCACTATTGTTGTTGCTATGATAAGAACCGCTGCGACTATGCAAGAATAATAAGAGATACTCCCA